CCACAGGATCCTGCGTCGTCGATCTACACACCGCGTCAAGAGCATCGCGAATAGATGTAGATCGCACTTTGAAGACCTCTTGGTAGTGGGATGCACTGAAGCACTCCACGTGAAAGCTTCTCTCGCATTTAGTACATCCGTACTTCGCTTTGTTGCTGATTCCTCGCATGCTACACAGGTAGCAAGTCAGCTTGCCATTGCTGTGTGCCGTACAGTTAGGAGTAATGATGTGGAGCGAAGTGTCGGCCCCAACAACTTCGTCGACTGCTTCACGCTTCCTCGACTTTTCACGCCGTAATTTCCGTCTCCGAATATTATTTTCATTGCTCGTCAAGACGTCCGAAATGCGCCGTTTGAACTCGCGCAGTGTAAGAGTCGATGACGTCGTGTTTTTCAGCAAAGCGATGGCATTGTTGATCGCCAGATCAACCCACCAGGTAAAATGGTCATGTCCAGACGCTGCTCACGGCAGCGAGATGGATTGACTGATCGCAGTTGATCAACGCGATCAACACCTTTCATGTAACGGTTGTAAACTGCAATCACGGTTGGTACCATGATTATCTTGCGATGCAAAACACGGTCGTCTGTCCAGCGCTCAATTGGATAGAGGCCATGACAACAGTCGACAGCCTCTTGAGATGAGCCGGGCAGGGTTCGAGTCGACGCAGTTGCTCGCAGATCGTTCGAGTAGAAGATGTCTACCTTTCGATCTTTGAAACCGATGTAGCCAGCTCTTTCCGCAAGCACAAGCTCTGGCTTGAACTCGCTCTGCTGTGCTTTCGGAAGACACTTCTGCGCCTTTTGATGATCAGCATCTTTCTTTTTCCACCCGGGCTCTGTCAACAGCAGCAACTAACCCCCAATAGCCACGGTTCGACTCAGCCACTCGCTCTACAGCCTTCTCCGCGGCTGGTTTATTCCACTTATCAATCAGATTTATACGCCCGGTGCCGATGGTATGCATTTCACCGTCAGTAAAGGCACGAATTGCCTTGGCAAAGGTGTGCCGAGTGTAGAAATTGTCGAAAACAGTGCGTCGATATCCGCGAGGTGAGCGCAGAATTTTAGATTGATGCCCCACCATGCTGATCCAGAGTGCTGTGGCAGATTTACCGCTGATTTCAACGTCTGGAAGCGCTAGCGTATTGTGAAGGCACGTACGAAGCACAAGAAACTGATCGGTGTAACGCTGGGCTGGCGTCGATTGCTGCATGTTGCCCGATCCGTTGTCCCGTAGGGAATGCACGTACAGCGAGTCTCAGCCTACCACAGCGTAGAAGCGAACGCCGTTCTTATCTGGCTTTGAGGGCATGTACGTGCGCGCTCTCGAGCGCGTTTTAGTTGCCACAGTCATCTCGTCGATGGTACTGACTCCGGTTTGGGTAGCAAACGCTGCAAACCGCTTCTGGAAATGCCCGAGTATTGCTCTGCTGTGACACAGCGATCGCGCAACGTGTCAATCGATTCATCACCGTTAGCATAGAACTTCAGGGCCGCTCGAATATGCTGAAACCGCGTCCACGCCATGGTCTCTGGGAATGAACTCTGACCAAGAAAACGCTTTTCCGACCAAAACTCACTGATATCGTTCAGCACGCAAATGCTCATGGCAATCTCCAGCCCGCAATACGCATCAAACTCGCTCTCCGTGGGTGTATTTTGTCCTCGAGCAGCCATTTCAGGGGATGTTCACGAAAGCAAGCTACTGCGAAACGATGAAGTGAAAAACAGCGAAAATAATCCATATTCTTCATTCTCAGGATAGGCTTTGGCTACTTGCTGTTCCGCCACGACGTGTAGTCCACTCTGCATGTTCAGCGACTCCATGTACGACTTCCTCATGACGCTCGGTGTGCAGATGTTGAAGGCAGTTATGGGGTGCTCTGTACATCTGCTCTCGTTTCCTTGTGCAATGCGTTGACACCACGCGGCAGATACGTGTGGCAAGGCTGCTCACCGCCGATGATAAGCTGGGCCGCCTCGGTGGCTCGGATTTGCACCTCAGCAGCACAGCACTGCTCTCCATGATCGTTGCGGCAACCTGCATCTGACAGTAGCCTCCAGCAACACTCTCACTACGCGCAACATGCTGTCCCATACTGCCACTGCGCCGTACAACACCTCATTCACGTCCTTGGGCGCCGTTGGTATCTCCACCGAGCTCCGCTTTATCGCCAGCAATCCACGTGTGGTCTTCATCAGTTTGAGCACCATCATCTTCGTCAGCCACCCACGCGACTTCTCCGCCAGTCTGAACGCCGTTATCGTCACCAGCCAGCCTCTCCCAGTCCTCCACGAGGTCTTCCACGGTGATGTCGTCAAGAATGTACTCCTGCAGTGCCTCCAGGGATCCCCATCCAGATAAATTCTCGCCCGACACCGTGCCGGGGTGTGCGGGGGCAAGATGAAACCTCTATGCCGCTTATACCGCGGTTACGAACACGACTTGGCCCCATATCGCGACCCCGCCAGATGCTGCTATAGGTCCGATGGGACCGCTACGAATGTCGCTGGCTGCACTGTCCGATGTACATGCCACTTTTTAACCAATAAGAATCTGCAAAACGCTTTGTTACAGGTCCAGGTGGACCTCTAAGCGGTCTGGTAGCTAAAGGGTTAATGTACCACAGGTGGCTGTTTATAACAGTCCTGTACGTACATGAGCATTTACAAGAAGTAGATCTTGTTTTGATATTGATGATCTTTTTCCTTTGACTTTCATTGTCAGATTTGTGATCTTGTGCCGTTTTGCTTTGGCAGGGACTGTGCTGATTTCTTGTTTTCATTTTTACTTTGGCTACTCAGGAAAACCTTAGAGGATTAAACCTGTTCACCGTAGTGATTGTTGTTATTATCGTTTTAGTTATACGAATTTGTAGCAGCTACTTCAGGGAAACCTTTACTTTTAAGGATCAAAACCTGTTCGCTGAATTGTTGCTGTTATCGTTTTAGTTATTTAAATTTGTAGAAGCTACCTCAGGAAAACCTTTCATTTTAAGGATCAAAACCTGTTCGCTCTGTTGTTGGCTACTCAGGAAACCTTTGAGGATACACCTGTTCACCGTATTTATCTTTATATATTTTGTGTAAGCGTTTTAGCTTTGTTCATTTATTAAACTGCCATTGTGTTGCTGCTTCATATGTGGATATTTCTTCACAATGTGTGGTTTGGTTTATGTTCTTCGCTGCTGAGGTCTTATAGAATTGTCTTTCAATTTCATGAAATGGTAAATATAGGTGCTGCAGTCATTTTCAAGTTGATCTGACTATTATTTTTGAGGGTTTCTAGTTTTTCAAATATTTTTGAAGAAAGGCTACAGCTTTTAAAAGCATAAATAACATCAAACAGTGTCATCGGTAGCGTACGCATCATATTTGCAGTAAGTGCGCAGGCTCTCGTCGTTGGGGTTATTTTTCTCCCTAGAGGCTCATCGAGTTGTTTCTCATTTGCAAGTTTAATTTTTTTTTTTACTTAGCAAGCGCTAGCGATAGATTTGCAAACTATCGAATTCATTGTAGATGGAATTGATGTACAGTAGTAAAACTATAGTTAGCTTTCAGTAGACAGAGGCTTTTGTAGGCTTGCCTTGTAGTCATAAAGTGCTGAATATTTTTTTATTCATTCTTTTGGTACTGTTGTGCTGGAAATGTTTAAAACTTTTGCCAGTGACAATAAATGTTAAAGCTTGGCGAATGCATGAATAGTTTTTGGCATTGATGCCTCCCAGTTTCATACATTTCTTTAAGTATTTCTCTCTCAACATTTGGGGTATTTGTTTTTGTCGTACAAGCTAGGCAGTCTTTGTGAAATTTGCAATTTTATATTTGCATCATGCAAATTGCATGCTTGTTTTTACTCATTATATTTCTTTTGTGAACGTAGCATAAATATGTTTTGAGCAGCTAGGTAACAATGATTGCACCAAAGCAATATTCTCAGTAGGAACACACACACTCACATTTTACCTAGCTCACATCTTTGGGGCGTTTTTCTCTCTAGTGGCTCTTCGGATTGTATTCCAGATTTTATTATAGTTCTGTAGTGAGAAGCATGCACACTATTTAGTCAATTGACAGAGACACTGCTCATGCAAAAAATTGTTATTGCTCGGTAAGCGTAGATGGAGGCATTGTTAGCATATCTTTACTGTTCAGGAAGCTGAATGTCCGACAAAAGCTTGGTAGTATGCCCATTATCTGTCGAGACATTTTACGGCAGAGGCTTATACATTTTTGTGTTTGCCTTTCATTTTCACCTTGACTAAGTTATTTTCCAGTTCCTCATTTTAATTTGGCATATCTTTTCAGATTAAGGCCTCCCAGTTTCTTAACTCAGAGTCAACACAGTTTTTTTACTTGGTTGATTTGGGCAGTAGGCATCATTTGTGTTTGCATTGTCAACTTGACGTTTTCGTGTGTGTAGTGTGTTTTCACTCCTTATTCCTTTTCTTTAGAATTGTCGATAGTGGCAGCGGCTCAGTGGCTTGCCTGGACTTTGATTTCTCTTACTTATGTTTCTTTGTGAGCAAATATGTAGCAACGTCGATGGTAGTGGCTCGTTGGCTTGCCTACTTTGGATTATCTCCTTTAATTTTTGAATCAAAACTTTGATTGTCGGATCATTCAATAAATGACACTTTGCCTGAATATGCAGAGGCACGGTGGCTTGCTTTCTTTGCACTACAATGGTAGTATACTGCCATTATTGTTTGTAGTAGTAGTGGAGATAGTAATATGATAATTCCAACACTATCATGGGCGATATTACAGCCCGTATGCTCCGCTTGTAGCGGGCCAATGCGGGGGCGACATATCTGCCCATGTACTCCGCTTTTAGCGGGCTCAATATGTAATGCTTATCATTGTGGGCGCATTTACAACCCAAATGCGCCGCTTATAGCGGGATCAATACGCAGTGCGTATAATTTGAAGTCTACGGAGATTTCCCTCTCGCTCAATATCGCGGGGCAGACGTCCTGCTTAACGCGCGCAGCACGTTAGCTGGCGTAGAGGGAAACATGGCCTTGAGGTGCCGGTGGCACATGGTAGACTCTCGTGCGTCCTCTTGTCGGCGTCGGGTTCATGCCCTGTTAAGCCAGGTGGCCACATAGTGGTTGGGATAAGACATTTCCACAAGAAACAAAGCTCACTGGTATTCGAGGCCGAAAGTTCAGTCTCAAAACACTCTATCCATCAGAACGAACGTTTGGGTTGACGCCTTACGTGACTCGATTGCAGCAACGCACGTAAGAATTTAAGAATATATGTTTGTTGGTGCATTAATGAAGTTTACTCGATCTGATATCGTTTCTTCAATCGATACAGCCGTAGCTCGCTTTACCAGGATACTCATCGTCGTAAAAATCGGCATTACCAATTTGTTGTACGTGTACGACCGGACCAGCACTTCGTTGCAGCCCCATCGTAGCCTACAACAGAGCAAGAAGTTACGTCAGCTTACACATGCTACCAGAACGCCTTCAAAATAATCACCTCATCAGGTCAAGTCCTCTTCATCACCATGTTCTCGTTCTTCTCCACATAGTTCCCGCCTCTTTCATCTCACCAGAGCTTTCTCATCTTCTGTCGTCGACGATGCATTTAAGAAACAATTGTCACGATACAGCACTCGGATCTCCAGTATTTTTCCTCCAGCCACCTTGTCCCCAGACGTCCTCCGCCAGCGGCACCACGTGAGCGCCTCTAGACCCGTACACGTCGACGAACACGCTACCGTAAGGCCCGTCCAGCAGGACGTCCATCACCACACTCCCGCCGAGCTCAGCCCTGTCCGCGAGTCGCAGCAGATGGCGGGCCAGTCGCCCGCCACTTTGATGTGATATCGATTGCTCGAACATGGGCCAGAGCGGGGAAGAAGACGACTCTGACGCTAAGCCGGTGGAGAGTTGGCCATATAGATGTGTCCGGATACGGATCACGTCTTCTGGGCAATCCGGACGGATAATGCCGAAAGATAAAGCCGTTTTTGCAGATTTTGCCAAATTGCCGATCGGCAAAAAAAGCGCTTTTGCCGATTTTGTCGATAAAGCCGCGGCAAAATCCATTCTTGGCCCCATAGCTCGCAGCTGGGACGCGTCTTGTATCATTAAAAAGCGAAGAAGTTCACGCACCATAAGGAATTTTCATAAAAGGTACCAATACGGGTTAAAAATTTGCGCACCCTTAATGTAATTGTTATATTTTAAGAGTTGCAAAACTGACACGTGGATTTTTAAATTCTTAAAAAATTACCGATACGTACAGTACATACATTTTTAAGTACGATTAATGCTGGCAATTGGATTTAAAGGCCTCATTTAAGAAAACGCGCCACGCGTCAAACACTGCATCGCGGACGTTTCCGGGCGGGGTTCCTCTCCGACGACTGATACGCTGACGCCCCTACGACAAGCGATCTCTGCGCAGCAGGACCGCTTCACTGAAGCAGACACCCCAAGCATGACTGACGGTACTTATTTTAAAATATTTGTGCGGTGAACTGAGCTATTCTGACATGCATTTTTGCAAGATGAATTTCCCGCCCAATTCGAGCTCATTTCATCTCCCGGAGGCGACGGTCAAGATGATGACAGCGAACGGGACTTCGTATCGGACCCCGGTTCGTCTTCCGTAGATGACGATGGAGACGACGACTTCGAGCCTCCCACGGATTCAAGCGACTCGAGCGATACGCTGCAGGAGCTTTTGAACGAGATTGGTGACCGTTTATTGTTTTGAATTGCATAGTTTCTTATAAACGCGAACACATTGCTTTAAACGCTGGTATGGACAATCGCTAGAGGTAGCGCGCGGAAAAGAAGGGGTTGATGCTCGAGCTCGTATTGATATGACCACTGTACGAATACTGACTGATTGGTGCTTACAAATTTGATACAGCTCCCAAGGCACACCAAAAGACGCAAAAAGGAAGAGAAAGAGGATCCCGTCGCGCGAGAAAATCTGATTAGCGTAGGCGACGCAAGCCCGGCGTGGAGAGTTATGGCACTAATGACGGGAGCGTGGCGGATACTGAGTCGTTGCCGCCAACAGACGAGGAACGTGAGGACGCAGATGTCGAAAACGTGCAGCTGGACCTCCAAGACCCGAATACTGATCGCACGCCTCGGGTCCGACGCACGGAATCATATCCAGAGCGCGTTGCCTTGGTAAGATCTCGCGTGAGTGTGGTGATTAAGACCCGGCCGATGCAGGGGCTTTTTTATTCGTCGTGAACGGAGCTTAGTGACGAGTTGGAGAAGTATAGCTGTGATAACTATCTGTTATTTAGAGCCCAGCACACTCGGACCGTGAAAAAACACAACTCGTAAGTCTTATTGTTCCAGTTTTATGAAGCATATACTAACATATTTGCTGCATTATTTTTAGCGTGAGTGATCTTCAAATACCTGAAACAATGGACTACAGCTACAAAGTGTTTTGATAACCCACGGATGCCCGCAGAAGTCCCGCGGTAAAGACCAACGAAGTACGCCAAGTCGCTATACTGGATGCAAGGCCCGGTTTACAGCTGCATCGCTGAATACCGCAGAAGAAGGGCAAGCTGAAAAGTGGCGAATCATTCTACGCAACTGGGTAAGATTAACATGTCTGTATTGCAGCTTATCCATTGTCGGTGCATGATCGAGTAGATAAGAATATTTTTTTGGTGTAGACATGGACGCACAATCATCGCACGAATGCATCTATCTATGCAAGCTATTTCTGGGCTGGATCAATACCAGTACATAGTCTGGTGTACGATCAAGTCGGAGTTCTTGCTGATGCCAACACTGGATCACATCACATTCAGCATTTTTTGTCAGGGGCTTTGGAGAGGCACGTAACATCCCAGCAAACACGCAACATAGTGCGAAAGGTTCTGAAGAGCACGTCTGCGGATAAGAAGCTGTCTAGTATGCTGGAAACACTGGCGAGCTTCGGTGATCACGATGTGCTTGTTCTTCGAGATCAAAATGACATCACGAGTGGAGCAGCGATACAGACAGCTGTGCAAAAAATAGCTTTCGAGCAGTGGGGCGAGACGCTCTGTGCATTGGACGTACGAAACGAACAACCTGGGTTTTCAACTTGGTAAGTACTTATTTATTGTTGCGCCCTTATCTAAGGTGGTGCAACCTTATCTTTAGTATTATAGTATTTTTAAAGCAATGGCCTGCCGTTTGGTTTGTAGGATGTCTTCTCGTCACTAGTGTTATAGGTCGTGGTGTACCAGTTCTGGATTTTATTGCACTCGATGAAAATATGAAAACGATGGAGATGGCCTTGGAGCAAAAGAACTCGCCGTGGTCCGCGGTCGAGACTTTTGTGATTGACAATGACTTTAAAGAGTAAAGAGCTCTGGAGAAATGCTTTACAAAAGTCGTCGTGTGCCGTGCCAACCTGTTATGATGGTCGCTCGCAAAGCTCACGGATTCAAACAACTACCAGCGGGGGCAGTTGCAAGTCGGTGGAGTAAGGGAACATGCCAATTAAGGGCCGTTCAAAGCAACCTTCTCTTGTTTTGACTGTATCTTTTGATCTAGTAAAAAGTAAAATATGGTCTTGACACCAATCAAAAGCTGACACAATTGTATATTTCCCTGTTTATCGAATTGTTTCCCATCGGCTATGGTGCGTTCAGTAGGACAAATTAAAACAGTGCATAAAATGTGACGGCCTTGCCAATTAAGGGCCGCTTGATTTCACTATGGGCTGCTAAGTAATCTCTTATATGATACCTTAGTAGTGGCCAATGAAAAAAGATAAGCCTGCAATTCCGAATTGTCTATTGGCCAACCGAATCCGGCCCTTAACTGGCCACCGGCCCCTAATTGGCATTTTACGTTATGGTAAAAGCAGACGAAATGTACGATTCTCTTGAAAAGGGTTTGGAGCCCCTTCGGCGAGTAATTCATTTGGTGAAAGCAAGACAAGCTCTTGTTATGGCGCCTTAAATCGCTGCAGCACCATTAGCGCCCGGTTCTTCTCTAACAGGGAAAAACTCTGTGGAATACGTGCGCCTACGAAGAGATGAACAAGCGGATATGATTGTATTATCGGATGCTGAGAAATACGCACGAGCTCAAGCGCTTTTCTAACCGCTTATTGATAAACTCAGTAAGCTATCTACCGTCGACTTTTACGAAGAAATGAACAAATGGAACCTACAAACTTGTCTTAGTCACGCATAATTTGGATCAATAGTAAGCCATCTTGTCAAACAACATCTCGTTGCCTTCAGATACTCTTCAATAGTATCCGAAGGCAGGTCATAACGCTATATCAAGAATGCCTCGATCAGCTAAACGACCATCCATAGTGGCTTAAAAATGAAGGGGTGCATCGCAACAACTCTGTGGCACCCTATTCAGAGTGAAAGCCTTCATCAGATGTGTGAGAAAAAATCTGTTGGATCTCTTCCGAAAGTGGCAGCTGACCATACACCCTTAATAAAAAATCAAATCCATAATGTTTCCTGCGTCGAACGGTATGCAGCTTGGCGTCGAAATTATGCATGCTTCCTGACATCGGCTCTGCTATAACATTAACTGCCTTACAGTCGTTGGCCCGCCGGAACTCATCTGTGCCTGGCTTCCGCACTGGTAGCGCTGGACACGGCCACCGACTACTCTGGATCCGATATACCGATCCAAGTTTCACCAACTAGCTGTTGAATTCACGCATGAATTTGCTTTAAGCTGGTGATTGCTTTTTTGCTTTGAATCTGAACGGTCGTGCCTCTTCTTTTAATCGGAGTTCGTACGCAGGTACTCATGCAGGAGGATCATTACGTAGATCAATCCGCCAAATATCATGTTTCCGCACTAATCCTTTCAATTCCCGTCGAAAAGCTTCTGGAATCCCTGCCTTAATAGCGTCATCGATCCATTTTCGCAATACAGTGAAGTTATGTTGTTATATAATGTCTGGGCTCTATCGCCATTGGTACCATGTGCAAGGCATTCCGAGGGTGGTCACGCTTCACGTAACTTGGGTACACTGCCCCCCCCCCTCCCCCCCTCCCCCCCACACACACTTAGGCTCGGTTTGCCGACCAACCAGAATGATGGTAAGTAAGTATCAATCTCCCATTTTCTAAGTAAAAATACATCGCATTAGCCGCGAGAACAGGCGATGGCTCACTTCACACTTTGCGCTACGAGCAGCACACTTTCTCTAAAACGCGCTCTGCACTTCGACCTTAAGCGTACACTTGGTATTGCGAAACGCGGCGCGAAAGATCACACCAGCGCTGCTGCAGTGAAGCCGCAAGCCCAGGGCGTTAGTTCTTAAAGCAAGGATCCCGAAGTGATTTTTAGCGTGGCGACGCGTCTGCGTGCAACCGCGCGAGCCAACGTCGTAGTCGGGCACTTTCTGTGTCTCCTGACACCGTGCTTCACGTACCGTGAGCACAGGCCGGGAACTAAGGCCAAGGTTTAGGTCAGGCGGTAGCACTGCTTACATGTGAGCTCCGTGGAAGAGCAATATCCAGTGCACAGCGAGCACGACGACGGAAGTGACCTTTCGCTCGTTAGTGATCACACAGATCACGATTAGAAGCCTGATAAATCTGAGTGCCCGGACGACGAGGCTAAGGCTCGCTTAAAGCTGGTGCTGACGGAAGAAGCGAAGCCTCTTTAGACCTCTTTCTTGCCGAGGGCATTGATCGTGCTCCGACGGTTGGAGCGGTAGCCGAAGAGGCCAAGCACTCAAAGCAGCGCAAGCCCTAGAAGTATCAGCTCGGCGAGGAGAAGGGACAGGTGATCGTTATCACGGTATCTTCGACTACTATAATGTATAGGAGGAGGGCGCTCTTGATAAGCCCCGAAACATCACGAGCGACCTTGTCCCCACAGAAGGAGATATCCAAGCGGTCCAACTAATGCGTGGGGGTGGGGGTCGGTGGCGACACCCATCAGGCAAGAAGCCGCCGTCTCCTCAAGAGGTGATTGACATCCCAAGAAGAGCGTTGGGGCTAACTTCTTTTTGGTATGGTAGTCGCCACACTTCTAAGGGAGCTTAACAGCACCCGGCTTCAGAAGGATAAGTTGCTTGTAGATCAAGGTGTGGTGGCCCGGAGCTTGCTTCGTGCGCAGCACTGGATCCCTCTAAAGGGCTTAGCAACTTGAAGTAAGATGCCTGAGAGCCGGGGTGGGCTTTAGTCTGTATGTCGCTACCCTTAAATGTCTTGAGCGCTGTTGGGGCTGGAAATCATGCGAAGACATGTTATGGTCGTGTATTAATACCCTCAAGTACGTACCCAAGGCGTTGCGGGAGCTCCAAGCAGTTTGACAGCTCTTCTACATCGGGAGCTTCGTTTTTGATTTGGTCATTTCGTCAGCATGCCAAGATACATTCATAAGCGCGCGGCGTCTCGCGCTCACGATGTGCGCGGGTGCGAAGTGTCGCTGTCGTACGTACCCCGTCCAGGCGAGAAGCCCCATCTACTTACGAAAACGCTACTTTTCTCAGATCCCTACATCATCCTGGTCGTCATGTTGAAGTCGCTCAATCGGATCTCACGAGTTCTTGGAGTGAACATAGCGCCCTCACATCACGATGAGCTGACACTTACTGCGAAGCCGCCGCTCCTGGAGAGCTTTCTCCACGTCATAGTCGATTAATCCGCTCCGGTGAAGCAGGGTGGAGGTACTCTACCACGAGTACGATATACCTCCAGTGTGCTTCTCACGAGCCGGTTCCGCCTCAGAGTTCAGCACGGGTCTCAAAGCTGACCGTCTTCTCTCAAACTTCTCCTGTAGGATGACGGTGATGCTGCCACCCAGGCCGGGAACCGTGGGTCACTTGCTCAACGTGGGCCCCGCACGGATCGGAGGAGGCGAGGAATAGCGGCTCACCATCCGCGGGTCGCCTCTTAGAGCCGCCACCTTCGAATATGCCTCGGAAGCAAGCTATCGAAATTTTCACGCGTGACAGCTAGAGCCACTGGAACGTGGGGACAGTGTCCAAATTCCCGTTGGTCTAGCGCACCGACACTGTCCCGTTGCTCATGCTTGCTCTCAAACCATCGTCAACTTGTTGCGCTTACGAGCAACCGTCGGGAGCGTGCAAAGTTCCTCGGCGCCCCAACACCAATCAAGATATGAAGGGATGATCGCATCGCTTAGCTTCCATAAATGAAACATCAAATGTCTTGCGGCTCGGTGGAGCCAAGCTAAATCATAATTGGTCCGGTAAACTGGCCCTGCTGGCTTTCTATGACAAATTCCCTGCCCATCATGACGCCGGCACACGCCTGACGGTGTCTCTATGTTTCGTCGAGGGGGTTTGGCTGCACCCGGAACCACTGGGTTGGCGCAGGGTCCATACAAAGTCGGGTCATAAACACCATCGCGTTGGTGTCTTCATTGAGTGAGTTATATATTAGGAATGCCGTGGATTTTCGCATCTTTGGCATGTAGTTATTCAGGTCATTCTTTCCTTGTTTGCACGAGAGGAAACGCGACCGCCGACGATACTTGCGGTTTGACAGGAGGAACACGGCCCGCATCCGTTCGCATAGCTGAGCCCATGATGTGAAACATCCGGGCGGGGTCGTCTCTCGCGTGTACAAGCAACTGTTAGCACAACGGATAAGGTTGAAGGGTGCGAAACGTCGGGTTCTATGGCGAGATCGGAGCCGTGTCCCCTACATATCAAACACAGAAGTTAAGTTTCCCGCCTTCATTTACTTCATACGGTTTTGCCTTTAGCCGTAATAAGCTTCGGCATAACGGCTTTGCTTCCGCCGCCGAAGCCTGTAGGTTGTACCGCACATACATGGCGATCTATTTCTCGTAAGTGGCAATCGTATTGACACGTTCGTCTTGATCGTCCGGTATTGATGGCCCCAGGCTCTATAAGGGCTTCATCACGAAGATGCACATTCATCCTTCGAGCCG